ATAGTTTTTAAAAACTGAGTCCTTTGTGCCGTGGCCTGCACCGCCGCGCCATGAGACTAGCTTGGCCGCGCCGTGCCGGTTGGCCCCCTCTGCGCTGTAGCGGGGAGGGATTGTCAATGCTGTGCGTAGGCCGTCGCGCGCGAGGAGGGGGTGCCATAGGCTACCAAAGTCTTTCCCCCACCACGACTCCCTGCTACTGCCTCATCGGCCGCATCGCCAGCGTTGCTAAGCAACCCTGCATCCAAACAAATTTAGTGCGCGTGAAACATAACCTCTAAGAATACTTTAACAGCAGAAATAAAACCATTAAACATGAATACATGTTTTCTCTCAAAACTGTTCTTTGGTAAGGACTTCCTCTGGTCAAAACTGGTACAATGGAGCCCAAAATGCGAGAGAAGATCAGATTTAGAGGTTATGTTTCACGCGTGCTAAATTTGTTTGGATGCAGGGTTGCTTAGCAACGCTGGTGCTGCAGCCGATGAGGTAGTAGCAGGGAGTCGTGGTGGGGGAAAGACGTTGGTAGTCTATTGTCGAATTCCACGCAGGCTGCGCCGCAGCCAACCACAGACGCACCAGCCCGCCCCGGCAGCCAGCCCCTACAATGTTAGGATACGCACTTGGTTTTTGGACTCTCGAGTAAAAGCTAGCTGACACCTTTATGTGTCTTGTAGCTGTAGTTTTAGGTATGATTTAAAGTAAAGGTATCATCTGCTAAAAAAAGTGTTATTTGGGTAAAAATCGGAAAAAATGAACCTACCCCTGACCGCATAACTACATCCTTGGGGCACGGCTTTGGGAAGTCGTACGACCTTGGGATTTGAATTTTAAATTATTTTTATCAATTCGCCACACCTGTTGTGCCAAAATACGACGCTAATTGAAACATGGCCATAATGACTTTCCAATGTTCCGCACATCCGTCATACACCTTGCGAGAACGCACCTTCGGTGTCGGTGGTGGACCTTAATTCACACTCGTCTGAATGAAATCAGAAAATACGGATAAAAAACCGCACTTCACTACGACGATTGAAAAGGACTCGGTCGTCCTCATAGGGTTTTGATTTGGTTTCCCCATTTATGTGGAATTCCCAAAAGACGACAACTTTCGACGCGTCCTCCACCCATGCCCATACTCTGCAGTTAATATGGTTCCAAATCCGCACAGACAGTTTGGATCAGCTCCGGCAGTTAGAATCGTCCCAGATCTGCACTGCCTAGCAGGACGCGTCAATTTGAGGTCCACGTTTTTCACCTGCTACCGGCTAACGGTTTGAGATAACTCAAATCCAGATAATGCACAGAATTGCGGGATTATATTCGCTTCTTAAAAGCCCTGAACGGACACTTCAGAACATTGCTATTTTAAACCTATAAGCTCAGTCGGGCGTGAATTTTGGGCCACCCAGTATAGATCTCTACCTCCATACTTTGGTTTCCGGTTCACCCATTGGCAGTAGTAATGTTTTTTTCATCTCTCTCTGTGCAGTTTACTTCGCATCGTTTCTCTATAGCTTGGAGTCGCGTTCTTCCAACTGGAGGTACAGACAATATCAACCAAGAGGGTGTTAAATTTTACAGGGATTACATTGACAAAGTTATAAGCAATGGCATGGAGCCGATGGTGAGTCTTTATCTCTGAAGAGGGCAGTAACGCCAAATGAGAATGTTTTGACGAATTGCTTTCACTTGTTCTGACCCCTAACATCTAATTCGCACAATCCAATAAACATGTTTGCAGGTTACAATGCTTCATATGGACCATCCGGTAGCGCTGGAAATTGCCACTGGCGGCTGGGATTACCCTGCAATGGTCGAAAAATTCGTGGTATATGCTGAATTCTTGTTTAAAACTTTCGGAGACAAGGTACGAAACAGGTTCTAGTACCCACCATTAGCGCGCATTAGTAAAGAGAACACTCGGACTTTCTGCTCTGGTTGGTGTGCAATAATCAATAAACAAAGTTCAGTGATGCACTAAACTCAAGTGTACCGTCTTACTTCTTAGCAGATTTGATGTGAAAGAGAAAATAAAATATACTGTTAATCCAAGAGTCAAAATTTCATATTGATTTTACCAACGAGCTTTCCAACGACTGCTTAGCAATACAAACAATTTTTTCAAACGAACTTTATTTCATTTCAGGTTAAGTATTGGAACACTGTAAATGAGCCGAACATGTTCTGCAGTTACTGGCCTGGCCTGGCTCCAAGAGAAAACGGATTTCACCGATGCGTGCACAATATTATAGTGGCACATATGCAGGCTTACCAGCTGTATAAACAAAAATATGCACCAACTCAAAACGGTATGTAAACTGAGGACAATATTCTTCAGAGCTGAGGAACCGATTAGGAAAACTAACGGATTCTTTTGTTTGCCGCTTTAATACTTAACTGACAAGATTGTAGTACCATGTGCTTGGATAGTTCCATAACTCATTCCCTCCTTCCTCAGGAAAAGTCGGTGCATCCGTTCTGATGTCGCCAGGAATGCCAAAGACAACCCAGGCAGAGGACGTGATGGCGGCGGAAGTCTTCAATCAGGTTTATTGCGGGACCGTTCTGCATCCACTTGTTTATGGAGATTACCCCCCTGTTTTGCGCTACCTGACCGACAAACTCCAGAAAGAAAAGAATGTCAGTGAAGCAATTCTACCGACCTTTACTGACGAACAGAAGGCAATACTCGCAGGTAAGCATACAGGCTGGCCTCCGGTCGAACAGAAGAGCCCTCGGCCGTCAATGCTCCAAAGCAGTGTTGTGAAACTGCCTCCATTTTTTAAGTGAAGGCCTTCTTAGAACTGGCGTGAAATTTTCAGCTCACCAACTTTTGGCGAAACTTTCGGGTCTGACCAAAACTTGGCGAGACTTATGTTTCACCTGTCGGGGGGGCGAGAAGTCTTTCCATTAACACTGTGGCAAAAAGGTACGGAAAATTCGGTTAATTTTTTTGCCAGGATTCTCCGTAGCCCTCTTATCAATATTCTCCGTAGGCTCTTCCAGTATTCTCCGTAGGACCGCACAGTCTTCTCCGTAGGACCTGGAAGACTGTATAGTCACTGGTAAAACTTAAGCGTAGTATTACCCACTGTTTTCAAGCGTAACAGGCTCATCCGCCAAGATTCCCCCTATCTAAATGCATGGGGGAATTTCTAGTCTATGTTTGATTTCAAGCGTAACGTCTTCAAGAGTAACTTTATGCTTGACTCAAGCATAGAGTCACGCTTTAGTTTTACCAGTGGTCCTACGGCGATCACTGTAAGGTCCTACGGAGAATACTGTGCGGTCCTACGGAAAATACTGTAAGAGCCTACGGAGAATACTGACAAGGGGGCTACGGAGAATTACCACAAGCTGTTTACAGAATTTTCCGTAGCTTTTTGCCACAGTGAAATTTGCAGTGCACACACTAAATTACAAGTTAGGTTTCCGCCAGACCACGTCTTGTCGTAACAGGCTTCGCGATGTCTCGCTGCCTGTTTCTCCAATCCGCGCCTGGCGTACCTCCAACCTACCTTGGCCTGCGGCGCTAGCCTGCCTTCGGCAGGCGGCAGGCGGGCTTGCCCGTCGCCGATTTTTCTAACTTGTTGTGTGCTGGGGGCTGCCCCCTTCATTCTAGATAGAGTTGCTTCATCTGCAGATAACTCGATCTTGACCCTTGTAACTTTTCACTTGTCCAGGCTGGGGGGGGGGAGACCCCCCAGACCCCCCTTCTTTCAGGACAGAAGTGATCTGCCTGCAGAAAACTCGATTTTTCGCCATGTTTAAAGTGTCTTTCGGCTACAAAAACTAAACCAGTTGAGCTAGGATGGTGAAATTTCGCGTGTGCTGAGCCAGGGACATGCCCAAAAAGAGTGCAAAATCTCACCGAGATCGGCCGAGCCGTTCAGGTGTAGTGCGGACACACACACAGACAGGAAAAACTTTTCAACCCCACTGGAGTAACAGGCTTCGCTATCGCTCAGCCAACTATGTAGGTTTTCCTTCGCGCTAATGCACGAAATCAAACAGGCACTTCGTAACGCACGATTTCGTGCATTTTCGCGCACGAATTCGTGCGTTACGAAGTGCATGTTTAATTTCGTGCATAAGCACGCAGAAAAACCTACATAGTATATTAGAGTGTATGGCTGCACTCTCATTCCAGGAATGTGACATGTGAGCACGCATACAGGTTTTGCGTGCAATATCCAAGTTTTCACTCTATCAATTTTCTCGTGTCCGTTTCCAAGATTTGGTAAAATTCTTCAATTCCTGCGAAAAATGCTTATTGTTTGCAGGTGGTGCCACAGACTTCGTTGCTCTAAATCTTTACAGTGAATTCAAAGCCGGCTACAGCAACAACCCTACCAACCCTAACATGCCAGTACTTTTCAAAGATATGATGGAAGAGATACCTTTTGTAGAGATATCCGGCACAGGTGGTTTTTCCAAGGTAAAGTATAGAGCGTCAGAACCGAATACAGACCCGACTCCGGCTCTTTCACTGTGCATTGGCACGTATGTGTTAAGACGAAATTAGTCGTCTCTTTTCTTCTTCAAAACGGAATTCTTTTAGGTGTCGATCGGTTCTTTTGTCCCGATGATAGGGATCTTAATAAAAACGTGATTTTAATAAAAAATGGACATAATTTGGATTAATTTCGGACGAAGATGATGTCATTTTGTAGACTGGCAGTAATTAATTGTGTGGCTGCAGACCAGATAATCCCCCCGTTGGCCGTTGAATAGTAATCTGATCCGAAACAGATATGAACCGAAATCGGATCAACTCAAGGGAAGACCAAAAATGCACTGCAACGGCGGTGGTTACTTTCCTTGCCACAAATTTGCCAAGCCGTTTTGAATGACAAAAGTTGGCAAGCTTGGCCCGGAAATACTCCCCAAAATTTGGCAAGCTTAGGAGGATTTCCGACCTAAGCTTGCCAAATTTTGGCATTCAAAACGGCTTGCCAAATTTGTGGCAAGCAAATTAACCACTGGCTTTGCGGTGTGGGAGACGAAATCACGTTTAGGTACTCTCGCGGTCACATGGATTTCACGAAATTTTCTGTAGCAGAAGGATAACCTCTTGCTACGCGTTCGACTGTCGAAGTTTCCTTGCTGTCTTAGAAGAAGCTTGCTGTCCGAAAACAACAAATCTATTAATAAACAGCAAATTTGTCCGACACTAGCTGGAACATAAAACAATTTTTTGTCACAACTAGGTGGACGATGCACTTATGAAGAATGGACTTCTGTGGATATGGCGTAGTTACCACATTCCAATCATCATCGCAGAAAACGGCTTGGGTGACACGAAGCACGCAGGAGTCAACGATACAGAGCGCGCGGCATACCACAGTGTAAGTATCTCTTTGCTGTCCCGCCCTCCCGCCAAACGAGGTTCCTTCGTTCGGCCCTCTGGAAACAGTGTACGTTGACATTTAACAAGAGTCAACACTGGGATTTCAAACGTTATGAATATAGCACGTATGATGAATTCACTGAGATGTCGCACCATACGTGCACTGCCTCTGTCATATTGTACCTTCCGTGCAATAGTCCTCTTTGCCGCTCCCACGGTCCCCCTCCCTGGACCGCCGTTGCCTAGCAACGCGAGCCAAACAAATCGCAGGTACGCAGCACACCGGACGGCGCGCGGCGGGTGGGTTTTTCGGCCATATTTCCTAAACCGTTCAAGATAGACGTGTACAGTAAGCGAGCCGATTATAGATCTCTGCTTAAACTACAATCGGCTCGCTTACTATACCCATCTAGCTTTAACGGTTTACGAGATATGACCAGAAAACGCATCAGTCGTGCGTCGCCTAGCTGGCAGCATACCTGAGATTTGTTTGGCTCGCGTTGCTAGGCGACGGCGGTCCAGGAAGGGGGACCGTGGGAGCGGCAAAGAGGTCTATGCGTCCTATAAATGCCCCATGCTACAGTCAAGCTCCTCGTTTTGCCCCTTTACTCGGGAGTTGCTGCGGACGAAACGAAGGTCCGGACGGCTGGTCGACGCGGATTAGGCCGCCGTAATCCCTACCTGGCCGGCCAGCGACGGCAGGCATCGGCCGGCGGGGCGCGACCCGCGCCACGGTGGTGGGGATGACTTTGGAACAAAACGAAGGACCCAGAAGAGGGACATGGGAATGGGGACGCGTAGCACTTCATGTGCGTGCGATGCTTTTGCATTGCACCAATTGACGCTATACTCAAAGCGTTTGGATTCTCAGTGAACCTCAAGGCGGCTTATTATCGTCTACCTGATAGGCATGCCTTAAAAAAGTTTGTAAGCAAGCACATCCTGGGGCAAGCCATCCCGCCCTATGAAAAAATTTATATTCGAACATTCGAACAATGTTTGACCATTTTCAGCCATTTGCATACCACATTGTAGCAAGCGTTCAAGTCCAGGGGATGCATCGATGAATACACTCGTAAAACTAAAACGTTACTCTATGCTAGAGTCAAGCATAAAGTTACGCTTGAAGACATTACGCTTGAAATGAAGCATACTCTGGAAATACGCCCATGCATTAGGAAAGGGGGAATTTTGACGTATGAACATGGTTTCAAGCGTAAACCGATTAGGCTTGAAAACAGAGGGTAATACTACGCTTTGGTTTTTCCAGTGTACACGAAATGTTTTTTAAGTCGGAACTCTTTCGAACAGAGATACACGCAGACACAAAGACCGTTTTGAAGCTTTTCGGAATTAGAGAGGCGGGCTAAAACATACTCTGTTGTTCAAGGAATGAGACGTCATATTCTTTAGAATGTTGTAACGTCTGTTTGAATACAATAGTTATATTCGTTCGTGACACAGCCCTTTAATTAGGATGACTCATTCATTTGAACGTGGATCAACATTCAACCGAATATGAATTCTGATACATACAAACGACGAAATTTACAAACTAACGAAAATGACGTCACGTTCGTTGAACAACAGTGTTTTTTTTCAGTGTTTTAAAGAAAAAGTAGAGTTTTCATGCTGTGGCAAGTACATACACAGAGAAATTCTTACAAAAAAGAACTCCTCGTTGTAATACAAAGAAAACGAAAGCTTCGCAGCCTACGAAGGAAATCAATTGTAATACAAACGATTTTCTTTGAAATTCAAAGAAAAAAATCATTAGCAAGCTGCGAAGAAGTTCTTCGTAGGCTACAAAGGTTTTCTTCCTTTGTATTACGAACAAAATCGTTTGTATTACAATTGTATTGTAATTGTATTGTATTACATTCGTTTGTATTACAAACTATTTCCTTCTTATAAGAAGGAAATAGGAAATCGCAGCCTATAGGCTGCGAAGCCTTCGTTTCCTTCATATTACAACGAGCAGTTCTTTGCAGGGTTAAAGCGTGTAATGTTGTTGAGCGCCTTTCTGCCTACACTTTCACAGGCTAACCTTCGATCTCTGGTGCGAACAATTAAGGAGTATGGCGTGGAAGTTCTTGCGTACTATGCGTGGGCATTATTGGATGTGTACGAGTTCTCAGCAGGCTACTCTGGGTAAGTGCAAATGTGGTAAACACTTGGCAATCAAGGAGCTCACTCAACCCATATCAGTATTCGTGACTTTATGCTCTAAATAAAATTCAGTTTATATTCCGAAATACAGTCTAAGATTATAACACGGCAGACCGCAAAAGGCATTACAGTACCGTCCGAATCTTATTTTGGAATACAGCCCCGCTGTAAAAGAAATCATTGACCGGACAGTGAATTAAAATTCAGTTTGACTGTTAAATAAAATATAGTACAGACCGTACGTATGCCTACTGTTTTTAAATTAAGTTTTTTTAAACCCTGTAATGCGTAACAGTTCAGTTTGAACCTTGTTGACTCTTACGTGCGTTTCCCTTCATTTTCTGAGTATGTATCGTCTTTCGATCTCACTGCATTTACTTCCAATCCGGTGAAAATTAGCAAGCTGTTTGGAATGCCTTGATAAATCTTCATCAGCTTGTCAATATTTGGCGCTCCGACCACCTGCAATGCCAAATTTTGGCAAGTAGGCCGAGACTTGCTAATTTTCGGCATTCAAAACGGCTTGATACTTTCGCGGCAAGCAAACTTTGCAGTATGGAAGCTCCCTTAGACATCATTGGGTGTTTCAGGCGTCCATTTGGACTCATTCACGTCGACTACAAGACGGGATCGCTCAACCGCACTCTGAAGAATTCGGCACAATTTTTTATTGAGCTGAGGGACACCGGCAGGGTGCCGAATATTCTCCCGCCAGACGAAGGACCGTCAACCAGCGCAAGTTCAACATTATCGTCGGGACTACTGCTTCTGGCAGTCGGGGCAATGAGGGGTCTATGGCTCTGAGAAAGGGCCCTGTTTCAAGAAATTCAAATTTAATAGGGCCTGCGTACATGTACCTGCACTGGATTTTGGATGTTTACGTTGACTTTTACGCACACGCACTGTCAATAAACTCCGTAGAAATACGGAAATTCAACGAAGACTGGCCGATCCTTTTACTGCAAGAAAAAGTGTGAATTGTACAACAAAAATGCAACAAAAACTGTACAGTAAAAGTTCAACAGGGATTGTAGAAAGGACAACGAGAATTGTACAAACCACAACGAGGCCTGGACTGCACAGCTCGTCATGCCGGTTCCATTGTACTTTGTACAACAATTGTTGTACTTTGAAATTACAATAAATTCCTGGTAAATTTGCCAGGAATTTATGTAGTTTTGTTGTGGTTTTATTTTGCAGAGTTGTACGTAGAGCTTCGTTTTAATAAATTATGGATTTTCTCCATTTGAATCTGGAAGTAATCTCTACACATGACTTTGAGGCCTCAACCATCAAAGCGACCAGAATACTTGCTGTGATCGTTAGGTTGGGTGAGCAATCGATGCAAGTTTTTACACGTGCGCATTTTTAGATCAACCTCGCCTTCAGGTTTCCGTCGTTTTCTCCAATGTAACCGGTAAAGTGACTTTTCACAAAGGTTTGGAGAATATCACTCCCGCCTAAATAACACTCGCTCGGTTCATTACGGGAACGCGCTCACATGGAAACGAATGTGACAAAATGTCCCGTTCCTCGCGAGCATTGTCACACCATTCGTTTGGAAGTGAAACAGCTAAATTATGACTGATTCACGTCCAAACGAATGTGACTCGATACCCAAAGGTACATGACATTTTGTAACATTCGTTTCAACGTGTTGTCACGTTTCTGGAATGGGAGTGAGCTGTTCGTAGAATATCGAAAATAACAGAAGAAAAGCAATCATAAGAAAATGTGTCTATTTCGGTTAAAATACGTTCAATCTTCGCAAAAATACCGAAACTGTTCAAGTATGGATGACTTATTTTACGGTGGCAGAGAACCGCTAAATCTTACTGCTGTAAAACTCCTCCCCAAGCTGAACGGTCGGGGGACAGATTGATTAAGCCGGATTAAGCTTCGAAGGAACATCCCGATTCGTTGACTGCGTAGTGCAAGGGACGGCGAGGGTCAACCCGGTGCGCCGCACTCGTGTAAATTTTGTCAGAATCTCAGAAACGTGTCTGAAATTCTGACAAAAATTCGCGCACCTCTAAAAGCTGAAATTCTGAAAACTTATTCTAAAATTGATGGTTTAAGTTCAGGAAAATATCAGAACAAGTGTTTAGCTAGATGTGCGCGAATTTTTATCAGGTTTTCAGACAGGTTTCTAACGTTGGATCAACACAAGAGGCGCCGGAGGGTAATTATAGCGATCGCGTGGAGGCCCGACGCTGACCGCGACTTCTGCCGGGCTCGCCGCGTGCCACCTGCTTCCCATCGTGCGGGGCACCTTTAGGTCCGACGTGCTTGTGACCCTCCGGATTTATGGCTGCACTCGTCAACCCCAGCGAAAATTTAAAAAAATCAGCTTTTGGAGGGAGTCAGCTTGAAGTGGAGTTTTACTGTGTAGACTTGGCACCACTTGGCCTGTACACTGAGAATGAAAAAGTCATGATCAATACCCAATTTTGGGCGAGGTTTACTTTCTCACCCAAATTTGGGCGAGGAATGTTTCCTCGCCCAATTTGGGCGAGGAAAGCTTCCTCGCCCAATTTTGGGTGAGAAAGGGTGTATCAGCTCCCTATATAGCTCCATAGTATTATGACCCAAATTTGGGCGAGGAAACTTTCCTCACCCAAATATGGGTAATAAAGAATTCCTCACCCAAAATTTTAGTCATGATCATGACTCTTTCATTCTCTGTGTAGTGTGAACTCCAGAGCCATGCTTGAAACTATTTTATCTCATGTACTACCGTGTGCAAAAGAATCCGACCGTCGCTACCCCGCGCAAGAGACCATCCATAAGGCTAGCGTTAAAAGTTAGGACAAGGAAAATTGTTAAGGAAAATTTTGTAAAAGGCGATTTTCTTGTAATAAATAGGAAATGATGTTACATGATTGTCAGAAGTGGTTCAAATGAATGAATGAAAGAAACTGTGTAGGAAGATTTATTTGTGCCCTGATTACAAACTTCATTTGAAAGGCGTGAGAGTCTTCTGTCCGAGGTACGTTAGGCATTACTTTCTCAAACTCACCTCACGAATACGATATCAGAAAGTTCCAAGTCTGTCCTGACAATCTTTCGTGAAGCACTTGAGGACACAGCAAAGAATCTTGTCACATTCGTCTTAGTTTGAAAATTACATATAATTCAACTCTCGATTCCGAAAATATCATATGGTCCTATGATACTGCGTGCCATCGTTGGTTAATTGAGTTGAATTTACCAGGAGCTGGAAGCTGAAAACTGTAACGGAATTTGTGAGGAACTGTTTCCCTAGACCTCCCCAACTCAAAACCGAAACAGAATTAATGGCCCAAACTGTGGGTTTCAGTTGTTGCTCTGTAAGTAAATTACCTCAAGTAAATATAAAATTACTCGCTGTTACTCAGTGGATGTGGCGTCATATTCATAACAATGTAAATTTTGGCACGTTTGTTCGAATAAGATACAAATAAGACGTTCTAATTAAACAGCCTTCTGCGTTCCAAGAAATGTGACATCCAACTGTTAAAAATATTTGTACAGAAACAAAGCAAATGATTGAAAATTTAGTCATTCAAAAAGATGGAATGTCACCATGAACCAAAGCGTGACAAATATCGTTCAATGCTAAGGGGCATTTTGTCATTGGAGAACAAAATTCTTGTTTTCACCATTAAGGCTGCAGCCTGTAAGTGACTTAATAAATACAAATGAAAGCAAATATTGGAATTGTTGTATTTTGTTTTTCAAAGTCATAGGGACATGAATATTTTTATTAGAAGTAGAACTATGCAAAATTAAGATAACGACAAAAGTACTCAATCAATAATTGTCGCAGCCATTACAGTATTCTTTTTATTAACTTAAATTATTTGTTGGTAGTTAGCGACTAGGTTTTGAAGGTGGGCTGTTAATTTTGTCTTTACAAGTTTGTCATTGAGGAAAGATCCTTTAATTAATAGCAATACGACAGTGACCAACAAGCTATTCGTTCCAAAACAAATCGTATCGCTTAAAAAAGTTGGCAGTGAATGTGTTGGTAAGTAGTGACAAAATTTTTAACAGAGTTGTACTCAAACCAACGTGACAATAGTCACGGTTTTATGAAAAAATCATCACATGCGTTGAATAACAGTGCGTTACGGATATTCTAAAGTAAAGGGTCCTCAAGTTACTTAAAGAACACGATTAAGAACATTCCTCGCAGTTGCATTCCTCCCCGCTGTCGTCGTCGGAGCCGGGCCAGTCTCTCCTGGGGCATCGAGAGCCGCAAATGTGGCAGCCGCACTCCTCGCCCATGTCGAGCTCCACCTTGACGTCGGCGGGCATCTTGGCGGCGGCCTCGGCGACGGCCTTCTCGCACAGCTCGCGCCGCCAGTACGAGTAGTTGGACTCCTCCCCGCTGCAGAGCGTGATGACAGCGCTGCGCAGGGCGGGGCCGGCCATCTTGAGCAGCAGCTCGCCGGCCTGGCGGACGCCGCGCAGCGCGGCCTCGCCGATAGGCTGGCGGCGGCGGCAGTCGCGGTACACGTTGAGCTTGACGTGCTCCAGGGCGCGCAGCGCCGCGCACGCCGCCCGGTCGGCGGCCCGCGGCATGTCCACCTCCAACACGCGCAGCGCCGGGGCGCCGCGCACCAGGTCGCCGACGAGGCCGCAGGGCACGTCCATGTCCGCGTGGAACGAGTAGTCGCGCGGGCACTCCCCGTGCACGCGCACCTCGCGCAGCTGCGGCAGCGCGCCGGACAGCTCGCCGCGGTAGCACACCTGCTCGCTGGTGGTCAGGGCGAGCTTCCGCAGGCTGCGCAGCGTGGCGACGGCGGCCAGGGTGGGCTCCGCGTCCTCGCTGCCGAGGAACAGCTCCGCCTCCAGCAGGGCCGGCTGCCTCCGCAGGAAGCAGGCCACGGTGTCCGCCTGGTCGTCGTCGTCCAGCAGCCTCCAGCCGTTGCGGCTCACGCGCACGGACTGGTGCACCACGGCGCGGGTGCGCCGCAGTGCGGCCCGCAGGCGGTCGCGAGCCTCGGCGTTGTAGCAGCCCTGCGGGTTGTCGAACTCGCTGGAGTGCTTGGCGCTGATTACGAGCGACGCCAGGGCGGGCGCGTGAAGCAGCATAGTGGCCTCCGCCTCCACGAACAGAGAGACATCGAGCACCGCGCTCGCCCAGGAGGACGCGTCGCGCGCCAAGCGGCACCACCGCTTGCACACCAGCGGCAGCACGCGGAACAGCGTCCAGGCGTCGGTTATCTTGCCGAAGATCATCACCAGGACCTCGTCCGAGAGGACGTCCACGCCGGTCGCCTTCGGGGCCGCCGCTGCCGCCTCAGCGGCCTGCACTGGGTGTGCGGGCGCCATCGTGCTCGGCGACACTGCAAAAGTACGAACAGAAACGGGGCTTTAGGTGACCGAGCTTGATAGGAACTGGTAGTCCGACGCCTCTATTTGGCTAAAACTTTTTAGCTAAATTCACGGACGTATTTGGCGGCCGGTTTGGAGAAGCGATTCCCAAATAAGGGAGGGTGGCGATTCGAAGCACTTCTTCGCACGTTCCGAACTACTAATTTGCATGCAATACGGAATGCGATCTTTGCATCGTGAACAAGTCAGATTCTTCGCAAGCTTACAAATGCATCAGTTCGCAAGATTTTAAGCGTGAGGCGCACCTGCGGTGGGCAGCCCCTGACTGCAGCTGGGCATTCTGGGCCTTACCCAGAACGGGCCAGGCCCCGGGCGGGCCCCAGCGAGCCCCGGGGACGGCCCACTGGCCGGGGTATTATAGTATAGGCAGTCAAATCCGTTTGGCCCGCGCAACGTTTTTACCTTGAACCGAGGCTACTGAAGGTCAATCTCTTTGTTCCAGATCAAAACTCAGAGAAAATACATTTTTTTGTTCGTTGCATTGGTTACACAGAGTCATAAAATACCGTGCCCTTGATAGGCGCAAAGCTGCCACGTCCCTTATCCATAATTTTTAGACACACAATTTGATCCATGATGCAGAAGAAGGGAAGAGTTTAACTAATCTTAAAATTGATTTTTTATTTTATTATTGTGCCTGAGAATAGTTTGCATCATTACAAAATTATTTCAGAGTAACTCCACCCCAAGGTGGACCGAAGTCTGGGATTGGGTCACGGATTCGGTTCAAACTTTGTGGGTTCAATAGGTACCACTAGGACCTATCAACCCTAAAAGGAAAGTTGGCTAGCTCAAATAGAACCTGAGATATTTGCATTTTTCTAAATTTGACTAATTTAGCGTAAAAATGTCGCTTTCTGATTTTTTCATGGTAAAAGTTGTTTGCTTAGTTCTGGCTTGCATTTCTTCTTTCTAGTCATAAAAAAAGGAGAAAAATGGTGGTAGGCCAAGTTTTGTACGTTGCTTGGTTTGGCCTACTCGAGCAATTTTGTCGAATTCATCGAAACTCTCATACCCAAAATACTCCACCTTGGATTTGACCCTGGTACGTCTCATTTCACTTCTTTTACTCTAATAAACAATTGCTATATAGTCCCTAGCACCAACAATTCCATATAAGCCAGAAGAATCCAAAACACAATTTTTCAATTTTCTACTTTGACCTATTTTGGGCGCTTTTGTCAAGATTAGGGCTTCTACATGATCTTGGGTGACAGGAGGATTCCTCCCTGCCCTCAATTTAGATAGTATCAACACAAACAGAGAGACCCAAACTCAAGGTGCACTAAAAATTTATAAGGAAACTGTTTTGAGCAAATTTTGCAAGTTTACGAGGGGTGTGAAGAATTTAAATCGGAGGAAAATGTAATGCTTCAGCCAAAAGTGGATTTGTGGTTCATTAGTAAGCTTTCTCAAGTAGGTTTGGTGCCCTTTTAACCCTGAGAATGTTCCTCCTTGATAATCAGTGTTAGCTGAACCCCTTGGTCTTAAGTCATCTGGCTGGTCTAAAAAATTTACAACCCAAATGAAACCAGGCTCAGTCATTGAGACTAAGCGGTTGAACTTACACGTTGCAAACAACCTAAATAAATGGATCATTACTTTTTCAATGCGTTTAAATCGTAAGTCCAACAACCCTAAACCAAAACAGGGTTTTAACACTGATTATCAAGGAGGAACATTCTCAGGGTTAAAAGGGCACCAAACCTACTTGAGAAAGCTTACTAATGAACCACAAATCCACTTTTGGCTGAAGCATTACATTTTCCTTCGATTTAACTTTTTAAAACCCTTGTAAACTTGCAAAATTTGCTCAAAACAGTTTCCTTATAAATTTTTAGTGCACCTTGAGTTTGGGTCTCTTTGTTTGTGTTGATACTATCTAAATTTAGGGCAGGGAGGAATCCTCCTGTCACCCAAGATCATGTAGAAGCCCTAATCTTGACAAAAGCGCCCAAAATAGGTCAAAGTAGAAAATTGAAAAATTGTGTTTTGGATTCTTCTGGCTTATGTGGAATTGTTGGTGCTAGGGACTATATAGCAATTGTTTATTAGAGTAAAAGAAGTGAAATGAGACGTACCAGGGTCAAATCCAAGGTGGAGTATTTTGGGTATGAGAGTTTCGATGAATTCGACAAAATTGCTCGAGTAGGCCAAACTAAGCAACGTACAAAACTTGGCCTGCCACCATTTTTCTCCTTTTTTTATGACTAGAAAGAAGAAATGCAAGCCAGAACTAAGCGAACAACTTTTACCATGAAAAAATCAGAAAGCGACATTTTTACGCTAAATTAGTCAAATTTAGAAAAATGCAAATATCTCAGGTTCTATTTGAGCTAGCCAACTTTCCTTTTAGGGTTGATAGGTCCTAGTGGTACCTATTGAACCCACAAAGTTTGAACCGAATCCGTGACCCAATCCCAGATCTCGGTCCATCTTGGGGTGGAGTTACTCTATAGGTCTCTGAGTTATGGAGGTTATGTAAACTTTTAGTCGCCTCTCCCAAATTCTCCTCACGACAAAGCATTACCCACTCAGTCTTCAGATTCTGGCAATGAAATCTATTTTGGCATAGGAAAAAGATAGCGTTGGCAGATTTGAAAATGTTAGTCCAGAAGAGGCTATGAAAGCTATTCATCAAATTGAGGACACTAAGCGTCATTTCAGTCTTAATTAGTATTTTTTGTATTTTTTTTTAAAAAAAGAAAACTAAAAGATGTCATAAAAAAGACAATGCTATCTTTTGAACAGGGCAAAAGAGGTTCGTCTGATCTGTAAGAATCTTAACGTCTTGTACCTTTTCCTTTGTTGTGAAGGGAAATTGGGAGAAACAACAAAAAGTCAACGTAAACATCCATGAAGTTATTGCAATAGGAAGGAACTTTTACACATAAATGGAGACTTCTGACCCAAGTAATTTGAAACCAGGTAAAATGTCATAGTTTTTACTTAAATAGCGATAGAAGTGAAAGGCTGTTAAATCTGAGCTGTTCTCTGGAGTGTCATTTCATATTTGGTCAGATGTTAAATAATTGTTGCAAAATGACATTTTACAGATAACTGAAAGCTTAAACTTCCTTGTTACTGTGAAACAGACATTTGCTCCAACAGAGTAGTACACAGCTCAAACTTGTTCACTAACTGTATGTCGTGAACCTAAGTGAACCACAGGATTGGAAAATCAACAAATAGTTCTTTTTCATCGAAAATTTTTTATCTGATAGGTGCTTGGGCACCATAAGTTATTATTGCAACATCCAGAGTTTAAATAAATTTTCCATCAAAAATATTTAAAGAATTTTTTTTCTGACGCGTATTATTAAGGCTGCGCGAGATAAAATAGAACGCCATTTCTGAGAAAGTGCATTGTGGGTGGCGATAGCCCGACGTGAAATGTCCAGAGTGAGCGACAAGAAACCAGGGATCCTTAACTTAACTCAACATTTAACTAACACTGCTGTCATAACGTAACATAAGACAATGTTCGCTATAGGTTAAGGGTACGGACTTACGAAAGTACTTGCAAAAGTATATCCACACAAATTCGAGACATAAAAAAATAACTTACCCTTTTGAAAAGATGTTAGAAGTTAAGGGTAATAACTTTAACTCTTATGATAACGTTATGATGCCCTTATGAGGTAAGTTAAGGATCCCTGCAAGAAACCTTGTTTAAGCTCACCTTGAAATAGTAGATAGAATTCGGATTGGAGAGGATCCTCCAGTTTCTGCGTTTAGACTGCGCTCCAAGAACGGTACTCCTCTGGGCTCGGCTGGACTCCGGACTGCGACAATTTCGCTCGCCCCGCCACGTGGTTTGTCCGCGCACAGACACGACTCAACTGGCTGACTGGAGGCTGTCAACTGAAATCACACTGCGAAACACTGCCCCCGAGCAACGAGCGGGACAGCTGTCGCAAGCCCCCACCCCACCACGAGGGAGAGTGGGTTTTGCTTCGTGCGCGGGAATTACCGACACTCCGGCTTTCCCACGGTTTCGTCACACGGGCCACCGAAGAATGAGGCTCAGTTATGAAAAAGTGATTTTTGGTCCGTAACAGGTTAAAGACGTTCAGGGGAACGTTGCTCTCGACATTTTTCACTTCATCGATTAATTTTTTCAACGTTTTGGTATCAACGTAGGTGTACGCACCCACGCTTGGGTGCAACCGGGACAGACATTTTTATTCGGTTGGAGCTTCCTCCGCCAAAGGCGTACATGATTCAACGGTGACAAAGGTTCTTAACAGCAGATTCTATGTTTCAGTACTGAACTGTGGTGCCAAGCCCGGCTCACTGCAAATGGTTCCATACTTATTGGTAAATGGGTAACGGACGGACCTTCCGTACCGGCTATCGAGAACCGTCTTCTTCGTCGTGTAAGTAGCAAGTGCGGATTGCTCCCCCCGATGACACTCTATGCCGCCTGAAATGTAGGCAAAAAGCCATACTTTGGCCCTGTTAATAGGTAAAAAGTGCTTCTTTGCCATGTTCGATACAAATTTTTGCCGTACCTTTGGCTACCAGTCTGTACAGTAACACACTGAAAGAGTGTTCTGATCCAACTACAGGATTCCTTCCAAATAAGATCCCGAGGAGCACACAGTAAAAACTCCACGAAGAATCGCTTCGTAATACGAAGAAAATGAAGGCATTGTAAAATCCACGAAGAAATACGAAGCATTTCTGCAACGCCTTCATTTTCTTCGAAGTTACGAAGCAAATGCTTCGCAGGCTTTCAAGAGTGCACGACGGCACATTGTGTTGTGGGCGGTGTTGTGGCACCAGAACTTGGTGCTCATAACAAGTTGTAGAGCTGATTTCTCGGACAGCATGTCGTTGGATCAAAAGACACCTTTCTTCACATTTTACGTTACGAAAAATACTGGACTGAAAACCGTGTTTGTAGATTCCTTCTTTGAGTACTATGGCCTTTCCGGTTGGTAAGAATTGAAAGAAAGGGAAGTGCCAATATTTTTATTCGGAACTGAAAGCGTGGCGAAGACACAGTGTCCTGTCCCGTCGCAACAGAATTGGAGTGCGCTTCTTCGACGAATGGCTACTCAGGTGGACTCGCTGTGCTGCCGGGGAGCCCCTGCGCAGCCGGACTCGAAGCACCTGCAGGAAACGGGAGGGGAGAGTGAAAACCCTTGAGTCATTGTTTACAGAGGAAAAAATTCCAATGCAAACCGCACTGCACGATGTTTCCATATTGATAATTTAAAATGAAATTTATATAGAATTTTAATTAATAATGAAAAGCCATGAGTCGAACTGTGCTTGGGTACATTGCTTTTGCTGTAGAGGAAATCATAGGGTGGCGACCATTTGCTCGGCGTCTGCGCTTGTCAAGAAATGCAGGGGCGAAAGTCATGAAAGGACGCAGTGTACCCGCATGACCACAGCCTCTGTATTGTTGTTCAAAGGTAGGACGCTTGGATTGTTTCGACAAGCCGGTTTATTTTTGACTGAACCAAGTTTCTAGTGGTCAATTCGAATTTAGTGCATGTGCAGTTTGGCCTTTTTTACTTTCCCTCTACAATTTTCTATTGGGCAGTTAAAATTTTGACGGGTGCGACCGGGCCGTTGCCGTGGAAAGAAAGTTTCATGTTTTACTAGCCATTTGCTCAGAAACTGTACAGTTACTTTCATGAGCTTGACAGTTTTCATTACGAAGAGAGGGGGGGGGGAGGGAGGGGGAGCTATACCAAAACAATAGGGGTTCTACCGAACCTCTAAAATGTTGACTGAAAATGGGCCAGGGCACGGAAAGTAATTGCTCACATGAGCAGTTCTCACACTGGTAAAACTAAAGCGTAACTCTATGCTTGAGTCAAGCATAAAGTTACTCTTGAAGACGTTACGCTTGAAATCAAGCATAGACTAGAAATTCCCCCATGCATTTAGATAGGGGGAATCTTGGCGGATGAGCCTGTTACGCTTGATTTCAAGCGTAACCTGATTACGCTTGAAAACAGTGGGTAATACTGCGCTTTAGTTTTACCAGTGCAAACTTCAACACTTCATTCATGTCCGAGGGTCAAGGCTGTTTTGTTTACTTTATAAAGTTCATAGACAAAAGGAGTCCCAGTTTATTTCAGAGTTCAGCTTTGCGTTCTTTACTTCCCTCGCGCTGTCCCATGTCAAGCAAAGGCACCTCGGTCACTTCGAACCGAAATGAACAGAAGCGAGGCGGCACTCACCAGTGAACTGCACGGACATGTCGGCGACCCAGTAGGAAGGCCTGACCCTGAGCGTGCCGTAGTCCGCCTCCACGGGGACCTCCACCACGTCGTCCGGCCGGCCCTGCCGCCACACGGCGAGCCGCCCGGGCCGGTGCTGCACCTCCAGCACCACCTCGCCGGGGGCGAAGAGACGGAAGCCTTCCGTGTCGTGCTGCACAGAAAGCAAACTGTAAGACGCCTCGGCAGCGCGGGACGAGAAGAACTGTGGACGCAGTCAAAACCCCGGACGCGTTTTTGGCCCGCCCTTCTATTCAAAAAATAGGGGGAGGGCCTATGCATTTGCCTTTGAGTCTGTGTGTTGATGTTGTTGGCGTCTGTGTACAAGGAAGGAGTTGAGCTAGAGTAACCAGATTTGGAGGGTACTTCAGGAGTACCGTCCAAACAAATAATCCGGTGGTGCAAATCCTGTCCGGGTCGCACAAGGGCTGCTGCAGGTGCATCATGGTTTACATGAGCGGGAGGGGGATTTCCGCCATTATTGGTGCTAGCAGGGCACATAGGGGTATTTTTGGAATCGGGGTGACGAGACAAGATGAATGGACCTGGTCCCGACCCCATCGGCCGCTTTTACAAGTTGGCCAGATCAGGATCTTCAAAAAAGGGGGTCGACCGACTAAAAAAATTTATTGCAGACTTCGATTGGTCTCAGCGAGACCTTTCCAACGAGGGGTCGGAAAGGGGGTCCAGGAGCCCGACTTCGTCTATTAGTCACATCAGGATCTTGAAAAAAGGGGGTCGACCGACTGAAAATTTTTACTTAAGTTTTCGATAGGTCTTGGCAAGACCTTTTCAACGAGGGGTCGGAAGGGGGGTCCAGGAGCCCGCCTTCATGAGTTATGGGAAAAAGTGCGACGGACTCGTTTTGCGCTCCTGCTGTGCCTCTATTGCAAGGAGTTGCAGTAGCATGGCAAATATGGGTATTTTCGGAATGGGGGCGAAGAGACAAATGAAATGGGCACATTCTAAGGACAGTTGGAGTAAAAAGTGTAAGGACTATTGCATATTGTGAATAGAAGGGCGGGCCTAAGTCACGATGGTACATCGATAACTTTGCTTTACCCGCTCACGGTGTGTGTGATGCGAGCGGGCCGAAGTCCCGGCCCTTCGACTGGCCAAGTTGGGTCTGATGCGAGGGCCGAAGGCCCGAGAAAAGGCCGCCGGCAGGCCAAGCTGGGCTGGCCCCCTGTCGAACCGAGTTGCCGGCGCAGCGAAGCGGAGCTGGCAACTCGGTTCGACGGAAGGGCGGGGCCTAGCTTGTTAGCTTCCGAGTCGCTTCACGGGACTCGAACCGAACGTGTGACCCCACCAATGAATTGCTCTCCGAACGAGGAATCCGATGGTGGGGTCAGCGACTTTGGAGCTCAAAACGCGTCTTAAGTTTTAGTCGCTGGTCTTCTTGCCCACTGTGGGCGTAGCCGTCTAAGGGTGAGTCACCTTGCCGATGGTGCCGCCCCTGCCGAGGCGGTTGCAGCCCGTGTATGTCTCGTATCGCAGCGTGCCGTCGTCCCTCGCGCCAAAAAGCCACACCCTGCTGCAGCTCCGGCCGCCGCACAGGTGCAGCTCGATGCTGTTGTGCACCGTGGCGAACTGTACGCGGGCCGTCACAGACGCGTTGGCCGGCAGGGCCACGGAGAGCGGAGCTAACAGCGCTGCAGACAGGGAGGCGTCACAGCGTCATTCGGCCTGGACTAGGGATCAACCCGAGGGGTTATTCACAGGCCCTCAAGGGGCATGCATCAAGCACTTTGTGACTAGTTGCCTTATATGATCCAGGAAGCGGAAGAAGGGAATAACTTGACTTATCCCCAAATTGAGTTTTTATTTTATTATTGTGCCTTAGAATGGTTTACATCATTACACTAAATTATTTGACTGAATTGCAAGCAGTTTAGGAGAAAATCCACATGGAAAAAGGGCATAACTCAACTTAACCCCTTTTACAGTCTAAATTTCATTGGAAAATGGAGATAACTCAACCTTAGTCTACATGATTCCGTTTGACAAATTGGCAAAAGGATATAACTCAACTTGTGTTTTTAAGAATCTAGTGTAAAAAGAATCAACTCAACTTAACCCCCCCTTAATTTTAAATTTCAATTTGGAAAAAAGAGCTAAGTCCAAAAAATACACCAGAGTAACATACACTTTATGCAGACTATTGTTCCACTTGACTTGTCTCCAAATTCCACTTTGTTTAGGAAATATAAGGTGAGCTGACTCTGTTTTCCATTTCAACGGAAAGTGATAAGTCGCAGAAATCCTCTACGGAGTGACCTTACACTTTTGATTTTTTCCAAAATTTTACTAATGCTTTTTGAAATTATTAACATCTGCAACATTCATTTGTTTTGTTTTAGTTTTCCCTTCTAACAGTTTTTTGTTTCTCCTGAAAAATGGCCAAAATTGAGTTATCCCCTTCTTCCGCTTCCTGGATCAATATGGTGTGTTGTTTTTTTTGCAGAGTACTCCAGCCTTCCATCGTGTTTATCGATGAGATTGACTGTCTGCTGGAGTTCGGGAATAGTGGCAAAGACAATGATTCTCTGTAACGTATAAAGACAGAAATACTCTCTGCTCACATAAGTACTTTTCTACATATCCCACGACTCCTACAATTTTTAAACAAGAGACATCCAGTAGAATCATTACTACCATAGCCACTTTTTGAACGGGAAAATTGTTTAAGCACTTGGATTCCTCATATTAATGAAGACGAATTGCTTTGTTGCCTCGTTCTCTAGTTTATTACTTTCAAAGAAATCTTTTGCAAACATCAAAACATTATAAATTTAACCAAACTTCAGAATTTTTTTGTGGCTGGTCTTCTTAAGTTTTAGTCTTATAGTAGTTGGACACTGTACCAAAATTTAAATGAACTCCCCTCAGCACAGCTCGTTTGGCAAAAACCCTGGGGCTAGAAACACGATCATATGACGTTGACTTAAGTCAACATTTAAAAACAAGAACATATAGAAAAGCACTACTCAACAAACCCAAAAGCGTACATTGTACGCTTCAAAGAGAAAATATGGTGTCTTCGTTTTGGCAAATTTGTTTTATTTAAAAGAAATACCATTTGATTCCTGATGATAAGAAGGAATAAAGAAAGACATAAGTTCAATCTTTTTTGTAAACTCTTGTTAGTGTGACTGTGGAATTGTACTGATGTACGAAAAAGTTATACAAACGCAGTTATCAAAACGCATTTCAAAGTGAAATAAAACAGCATTTCACTCCTGGTTATCAATGTTTGACATATTTAGTCCAAAACCCTATCATCTTGCTTTTCATTTTTCAAGTATTAATTGTGATGTTATGCGCCTCCTCCACCTTTCCGCGTCTGCCCTGAGGCAGGCCTCTGGAACAAAACCCTGCCGCGGGTTTGACGCTGGGAAGCCCCGTCGCTAGACGGCAGCAACAACAAGGCCAAACGCGCTGTCACAAGTCACCCTCAATGTCCCAAGTCAGAGCGCTGCATTGGTTGGTTCGGCCAACCCAATGACGCCTTCGGCTTGAGCACCAGTTCGGTTCGGGTCGAACCGGGCGAACCGAAGACCCGTTCGGCATTTCGTCTCCTTTTTCGCGGTCCCTGAGAAGACGGACCCACTCGGACCGTCAGTCGGGCCAAAACCTTAGTTGGGTCGAACGGCACCACTTAATTCGAAGACGTCTGCGCATTTCTGTTAACAATTTAAAAAGTAGCCGAATCCACCCGAGTGCGCCCGAGTGCGACACCGATGGTGCTGCTGCCCTGCGGCATCTCTCGGAACCTCTCGACGGTTCTTCCGAACCAACCAATGCAGCGCTCTGTCCCAAGCTATCACCGTTGACGGTAAGAGCGATCACGTGATACCAACGATTGAATACATCCGCCAACCTTGCCGTACTCACCGTCACAGCCTTCACTGTTAGAAAAGATTGTTGAATTACGACAAAAGTTGCAACAACTTAGTCGTACCCAAACAACAAATTCATTCAAAATTAAAACGACTAAAACATCGTTCCAAAACAATTTCTACCGTTTCAGAAAATAACAGCTATTTAGTCGTTCAGAAACGAGATCCCTGTTTTAAAATGACAAACTCATTCACTAACGACAGAACTGAGCAGATCAAAAATTACATGAAAAAAAATTTTAGTTCACTCAAAAAAACAAAAAATTATTCCTTTAAAAAAGAATCTGAAATCTGCTTAAACATGTTCCCGGTACTCCACTGTCCATGCCCAGTTGCTTTGACCCGAGTTAAATTGTTTGCCTACCGCTGACTGCGCACTGCTTGAAGCCACCTGACCTGCTATGTCGCTGATGAAGAGCTTGCTGCTGCACTATGGAAGAGTGCATCCTGCCTTAGCTGAGCATGTTCTGTTTTGCTTTCTGCATGATGTCTCCACAAGATGCCTTCACTCTGCACTGCTTTGATTGTAAGAGCTCTCCTTAATAAAAATAGAACTTAAAAGCACTCAGTGGCTTGGTCAAGTGTGAGAACTAAATCTTTAACCTATTCTTGCACGTTTGTCTCTTGTCACGTTCAGGAGACAACGAAATACACTCCACTTCGAAGTTTGTGTTGATGGCTAGGCCACTGGGAAACTTCACAACATTCCATCAAGTTCTTTGTGGCAACACCCAAGGTGGATTTAAATCCACCTTGGCAACACCAAAACAAACGTCCCGCGGGCGTGGAAACGCATGATAGGGCCAAAGGTAATCCATGGGGAGTGAAACAGTCCTATATCCCCTCACAATTTAGCAAAACTTGGGGTGAAAACATTAAATTTGAGACGACAACGGCCACCAAAACAAACACACGCACACCGACCACCGTATATGAAAAATTCGACATGAGAGTAAATATGAGAAACAACAAGTTGACAAATGAAAGTGAAAGTAGAAGAGGCAAAGAGGGGAGCACCCTAATTTCTCATATTTACTCTCATGTCGAATTTTTCATATACGGTGGTCGGTGTGCGTGTGTTTGTTTTGGTGACCGTTGTCGTCTCAAATTTAATGTTTTCACCCCAAGTTTTGCTAAATTGTGATGGGATATTGGACTGTTTCACTCCCCATGGATTACCTTTGGCCCTATCATGCGTTTCCACGCCCGCGGGACGTTTGTTTTGGTGTTGCCACAAAGAACTTGATGGAATGTTGTGAAGTTTCCCAGTGGCCTAGCCATCAACACAAACTTCGAAGTGCAGTGTATTTCGTTGTCTCCTGAACGTGACAAGAGACAAACGTGCAAGAATAGGTTAAAGATTTAGTTCTCACACTTGACCAAGCCACTGAGTGCTTTTAAGTTCTATTTTTATTAAGCAGAGCTCTTACAATCAAAGCAGTGCAGAGTGAAGGCATCTTGTGGAGACATCATGCAGAAAGCAAAACAGAACGTGCTCAGCTAAGGCAGGATGCACTCTTCCATAGTGCAGCAGCAAGCTCTTCATCAGCGACATAGCAGGTCAGTTGGCTTCAAGCAGTGCGCAGTCAGCGGTAGGCAAACAATTTAACTCGGGTCAAAGCAACTGGGCATGGACAGTGGAGTACCGGGGAAAATGTTTAAGCAGATTTCAGATTCTTTTTTAAAGGAATAATTTTTTGTTTTTTTGAGTGAACTAAAATTTTTTTTCATGTAATTTTTGATCTGCTCAGTTCTGTCGTTAGTGAACGAGTTTGTCATTTTAAAACAGGGATCTCGTTTTTAAACGAGCTTTTTTATTCATGATAAAGTTGTTAATCATTTATTGTTCCCAAACAAATTTGTTGTTCACAAACAACTTTTTGGTTACGACTAGTTGTTTTTAAACAAATCATGTCGTTTATAAACAACTCGTGTTAGAAAAAAAATTAGCGACAAATTTGTCGTTAAATTACGACAAAATTTCTAACAGTGTTCCTCGTCGGAACCGTCGCCGCATTGACTGAAACCGTCGCACCTCAAGATTCCGTGGATATACGCGTTTCTCTTCTTGCACTGGACCTTCCACCAGTCGAGGTCACCGGCCGCTGCAGACAGAGAGGCCGTGAGATGGGTTTCGAGTGTCTCGACAGTGGGCAAAAAACAGTACCCAGGATCCCTAAAATCTTTCATTGGCTGAGCGATAGCGAAGCCTGTTACTCCAGTGCGGTTGAAAAGTTTTTTCTGTCTGTCTGTCTGTCTGCGTGTGTGTGTGCACTACTCCTCCTGAACGGCTCAGCCGATCTGGCTGAGACTTTGCAGGCTTATTAGGTATGTTCTTGGCTCGGCACACGCGAAATTTCACTATCCTAGCTTAACTGGTTCAGTTTTTATAGCCGAAAACCACCTAAAAACTGTGAAAAATCCAGTTTTCTGCAGGCAGATCTCTCCTGTCTTGATAGAAGGGGGGTCTGGGGGGCGGAGCCCCCCAGCACCGTCAAGTTGAAAAGATACAAGGGTTAAGATCGTGTAATTTGTAGATGAATCAACTCTATCTAGAATGAAGGGGGGTCCCAGCATGCAACACTTAAGCGGCACTAGTAAAACTAAAGCGTAGTATTACCCACTGTTTTCAAGCGTAATCAGTTTACGCTTGAAATCAAGCGTAACAGGCTTATCCGCCAAGATTTCCCCTATCTCAATGCATGGGGGAATTTCTAGCCTATGCTTGATTTCAAGCGTAACGTCTTCAAGCGTAACTTTATGCTTGACTCAAGCATAGAGTTACGCTTTAGTTTTACCAGTGGGTAACCGGCGGTGGACAAGCATTGCCTGCCAAAGGCAGGCTAGCGCCGCAGGCCAAGGTAGGCACGCCAGGCCACGGCATGGATGGGTGACCGTTTTTATTTTTTCTCTTTCGCGTTCCTTGCTAAACTTCAGACCGGGGCGGCTCAGATTGGGGTGGGTGACCGTTCTAAATAATGAATTTCCTTCTCAAGGTCAAAAAATGCCAAAAAATTTCAAAAAAAATTTATGTTACGAATCAAGTATTTTGTAGGTCCCCGATCAAATGGTGCATTTGGTTTTGTTCTATCTTTTTCCGTTTAACCTAGCGGCACAGTTAGTCGGTGTTTTTTCGGGCAGGTAGGCAACCCGCACAAACCGCACCGCCTGAAAGTTAAGCGGCCATCTGTCGGGTCACGACATGGATGGGTGACCGTTTTTGTGTTCCTGAGACTCGACATTTCGACTTTGAAAACTTCAAGAAAAGTGTCCGTGTAACCTGTGTCCGATCTGTTTTCTTTGCCATTTGGTTTTACTCAGAGCGTTTTACTCTTTTTTATGTTTCACGTTAACTTATACAATATTTTGTTGTTTTCCCGTTTTGTTTAGTTCACTCGAAAATGGATAACCAACCTGGAACTTCAAGACACCGATTACCAAAGGGTATCAGTGCAAGAAAGTCTGACTGTAGTTCACCTTCGGTTCCAAAAAACAAGTCTAAGAAAAGTGAAATCATTGTTTTAAGTAGTGATGAAGAAACTTCGTTAAGTATTGATTCAAAGTCCAATGATAACGATGAGGAATTTATTGTTAAGACTGAGCCCAATGCTTCACCCATAAAAGTAAGTAAAGTTTTTATGTGAGTTGTGCTTTTGTGTGATTTGAACCTATTTAATGCCCTTTTTTTCCAGGGCGCTTTGGATCTTGATTTGCTTCCGACTGTGAAGAAATCAAAACGACGAGTAAGTTTTAAACAAATATTTTAAGAAATGTTTACTTTTTTCTAAAAAAAAAAATTTCCAGGTGTCTGAAAGTAATTCATCCAGCAGTGATTCTGTCGCTGAACCCGAAGTAAGTTTTTTCGTTTCGTTTGGTTCAAACATTTTTTTTTGAAGAATTGTTACTTTTGTCTTTTATACATTATTTATATTTTTGTTACGGTTTTACTTTTTTATTCTTGCGCGTTTTTCATTAGTTTCTTATACTTAAACCGCTTTCTTTTTGTATTGTAGATAGCTACCCAATCTGCACCAATTCAAAATTCTAATCAAAGCTCTGCTGAAGCTGGTTGTTCTTCACAACTCAATGACACTGTGGTAATTTAAAAACTTTTATTTTTAATTTGGCCGATCAGAGTATAAAAGAAATTTTTTTGCGAATAGAGTTGTTAAAAAACCCGGAATTGCAGGAATCAAGCTGCGAAGTTTCATCTACGGCTAAGAACCTAAAAGATCTAATATCTTTGCATCTTCAATCTTCTGATGCCCTTCTAAAAGTATGGGCCAATTTGCATGTTTTAGATGCCAAAAGTGTAGCATTGCTTGAAAAGTTACAGAGTTTTAGAAAGTTAGCGAAGAACCTCAATGACAGCATTAAATCCTTTACCGAAAAGGAGTTTTATGTAAACGAAAAATTTTGAAGAATGGAAACAATCTGTTTTTCTCATTGAGAATGTTATAAGAAAAAAATTTAATGATCCAAATTAGTCAAGATTGAGAAAATTTATTTCAGAGAGAAGAAGGAATTTTTTTGCTGAGATTTCTAGGGGAAATTTTGTTGATTGGTAGGGCAATTAGGGAAGAAAGGGCCTTTTTTGAGAGAATTCAAAGTGAAATTTCAGACAGCATGTTAAATAAGGTTTACCTCTTGAGCGCCGAAATTTCTGCCATGAAGAGGGTTGACTATTTACCGGTTAGATACTGCAAATCTGAATGAAATTAAAAAAAAGTAGAAGTTTTTTTTTGTTTTTGACTCTAAGGTGAGTACTATATACTACGCTTTGCATTTGAATCATGTTATTACTTCTATATGAATTTTTTTATGTTTTATTGACATTTGCAGGAGCCCCATTTTTCCCGGGTTTTGGTTATCTTTACCCTATTTTGGTTATTGGTCTTTTGTTATTTATAGCAATGGTTGCTATTGGGTTATTAAAAAGAAATTTGTGCAGTTTTGCATGTAAGTACTCATCTTTGAAGAAAATGACACACATAAACTTCACACATTGCTTTTTTTTTTCAATTTTTGTGCGATGATTGTTTCAGAAAATATGTTTAAAAGTTGGTGGTGGAACCTCTTTAGTGGTGGCAGGTAAGGGAAAGTGGGGGTCATCACCTCATGAGTACCCCCCCCGGATGGATGGAGGAGAGGGGTTTGGAAAGGTGTGTGAAATAGGGTACTTCGGAGAAAGCCTGGACCGGAAGTCAGCGACAGAACGGGGGAAACAAAAGAGCGTCGTGCAGCCGTGCTGAGCGGTGGTGGGGGGCGAAATCGACGGAGTGGGGGTGAAGGTGGCGCGCGCATGCTACCCCCCCTCTGCCCATTCCGACCCCCACCACCGCTCAGCACGGCCCCGCGACGCTCTTTTGTTTCTCCCGTTCTGTCTCTGACTTCCGGTCTAGGTTTCCTCCGAAGTACCCTATTGCGAATTTTTAATCCAATTTCAATACTTTTTGAGACCTCTCTTACTCCCTATAACCGTCTTTGAGCCCAAAGGATTATGCAGTTTCTTCTTCGCGTCGTCTCAGCAAGAATATGATCTTTCGTTCTTCAAATTCTGTATTTTTGTTAAGAATGTGCAAGCTTTTCAAATCATTTTTGTTTTGTCTATAACTAATTTCTGTTGAAAATAAAATCATGTTTGTCTACTTTAATGTTTCTCTTATTTTTAAAACAGTTACAGTACCATTTTTTCCGCCTGTGTCGGCCAAAATTTTTTTTGTGTTTGCATGTTTTTATAACGATTTGTAAAAGAATTTTTCTTTACAGGTGTTACATACTGGCCAACTGTCCGAGGCAAATGTAAATAATTTATTTGAATAAAAAAAATTGGTCAACAACACTTCCCAATTTTCATAATTCTTTCTCTTTTCAGAGAATTATAAAATTTTGGGGCGCAGACTGGGTGGAAAAGTTGTCCTTTTGAACAATGACTGCAGTGATTCTGAGTTGGATGTTGAGAAAACCAATTTTTGATGAGTCAAACTGTTCTCCCAGTAAAAACAGAGCAGCGATCAAAATATCAGCAAGGAACAGGCCGCGAGACATCGCGAAGCCTGTTACGACAAGACGCGGTCTGGCGTAAACCTACCTTGTTAAGTACAAATCTAAGATCTTTTCAGCCTCCCACACACCATCCCCAAAACAGGCGCTACGAATGAAGCTTCATTCCCCCCCCAAAAAAAAAAGCAGAGGTCACCCAACTGACTAAGTTTTCTCTTGTAAGGGCGAAACCCCTCGAAACTCCCAGAGGCTTGGCTCGCCAGGGCGGCGGTGAGCGTCAGGTAAGAAACTGTTCCACACACAAGTCTTAAATTTATTCCTGTCTCCCACTCAGCAAGCAGGAGAAGTTGTTGTTCTCTGGTAAACTTCTTCTCTATACTAACAGTCACCTTTCCTAAGAGTACATGGGTCATTCCACGCCAAGTCGTCAAGGTTTTGAGGGACGTGTCGGCCGAACCCAGCGGTATTTTCAGGGATTGTTGGCCCTATGGGCCCATTGAAGGCCCGGTACTTTTTTCCCCGGAAAGTCGACAGGGGTCTGAGATATCTCAAACTTCATTTTTGGTAAAAGAAATTACCTATCAACCTAAAAAAATTTGTATCTCGGAAAGTATTTGTCCTTTCTCAAAACAGCTTATACCGTTGGAAAGAAGAAGAAAAACTGAAAAAGATAGGATTTTTTCCAAAAATTCTACGAAACTTTCACTTTTTGCACTTTTATAGTGAAATGTTAAAAATGATGCAACTTTTTTGTACCCTGATCAAAAATGGCGTTCTATGGCTCAAAATGAACCTTGATATGTCCTCTAAACGAAAAGATCAACTCCCCAATGTATTTTGTTTAGTTCCGGAGAGCGAGCGGTTCTTGTGGGCCACTGCAAGGCTACTTTCCCGCTGGAACGGCTCCCACGCCACGCTCGCCTTCTCTGTGTTAGCGGACGTGATCGCCAGGGTTCGGCGACCGTCAGGTAGGATTCCCACTTCACTTTTCAGCCCACTAAGGAAGCGCTGGACCTCAGCGCCTGAAGGGCAAGCAAGGGAGAGACTGGGAAGCAACGAAGGGTCACCTACACATTTTTGAGGGTTGGCCGCGACTGTGCTCCGCGGTGCGCGTCGCCGCCGGTGGCGGACTCTGGAACTAACGAACTTGGTGGTCTGTGTTGTTTCTGACGATCGCCAGTTTGGATTAGGTGTCAGGCAGAAAGGTTCGGATACTTGCTGAATCACGCCCTGCGTTTGTTCCTGGCAGTTTGGAGGTGAACTATGTAAGTTCTACACTGGAGAATATCTTTGCGTGGCCCCTGCAAAAGCAACGGCGA